CGTTAGATAAAACCCCGCTAAGTGTGCTTTCATAGGAACCTATTTTCTAAAAATGAATAATAAGAATTCCTTACACTCATATAGCGCTTTTCTGGGCACTCTGCTCAAAGCACTTAACCAAAGCAAGATGTGAAGCCGCATAAATATAAATAATGAGAGATCAATTACCCTGCTCTGTTTGTACTGTAGTCTGTGCATTAAAGGAACCTCCCGAAACGGCACATTGCACGCTGCACTGACCCCCTGCCCCATCCAGCCAGGTAAAAGCTGTGCTGCACGCTCCACCCGAGCACGGACACTCGGAGACAAGCACAGACACAGCTGCAACAGGGGAGGCAGCTCTCCTCTGAGGAGGCTCAGCTAAATACCTCCTTTGTCTCTCCTCAACAAAGCAGCTCCGACCTCAATTAATCTCCGTGAATGGGAGGCAGAGCCGGAATGCACAAGTTCCCTTTTCTTTCTTCTCCCTTCTGCGTGTCGTTACAGGTCGGCCGAAATGACTGTGCTCCACGCAGCTCCGGGCTCAGCCATGGCAGGTATGCAGTCGGGCCAGATTGCAGATGTTTGGGAAGGCAGGCGGTGACTTCCCAGGTAGCTATTGTGGAAAGGAGGGGTGGGTGGGGGATCTGAGGGGAGCGAATAAACATCTGGAGAGACTGACTCTGCTGCAGGGTCCCGGCACCTCGTCACACTGTCTGAGTGGGAAACTGGCACTGCAGTCCTGAAGCTCAGGGCTGAGTGCACAGCACTTCTCAATGTAACGCAGGGGCCACCCTGAGACAGTAGTGCAGGTCGTGGGAGAGCCTGGCTTCTGGACTCTTCTGCGCAGCTCAGAACAACGTTAAGGAAAGAGATCTCACGCTCAGAAAGACAGAATGAATCCAGACGACAGAGAGAGAGAGCTCATCTGAGCTGCTGGACAGGCACCTCTCTGGTGAGGTATTTGTCACATCTCCTCTAAACTAATTAGTGTCAGGGAGTGACTGCAGGGCGTGCGAGATGACAATGCTCTCAAGCTCACACCTTTGCTTTTCCTGCAGTACTGGGACACAATGGGAACCAGCAACAATTACAGCCTCCTGTCCCCCTGCAGATGCAGTTCCTGGCCAGTGACATTTACTGTAGGCAACTGCAGAGTGACGATGGACACGTCACTTTCATCTGAGCAGTAAAATAGCAAACAGAATGATGATAACTAGTTAAAAGCGTAAAATGTAAATCCAGTAATGGTATGTTACAATTGTACAAAGCACTGTTGCAGACAGTTTGAGGTCTTTGTGTTGTCAGGAAGATATTGCTGCTGTGGCGTCTGTCCAGAGAAGTGAGAGCAGATTTAAACAACCCTGCTAGTCAGTAAATGAGCGAGATGGGCCGAACTTTCTCCTCTCCTTTGTGACCTTTCTCATGGCCTTATTACAAGACCTTCGCATGGAGATCCATCCATGTTCATCCGATTCAGGGTCACGGGGGAGCCGAATCCTCTCCAGGCAAGCAGCGGGCACAAGACGGGGTACACCCTGGGCCTCACAGGGTGCACAGACATAGACACGCACTCACACCAGGGCCAGTTTTCCCAGAAGCCAATGAATCTACCAGCATGTCTTTGGGCTGTGGGAGGGAACTGGAACACCCAGAGGAAACCCACACGAACATGGGGAGAACATGCAAACTCCACACAGACAGCTCCCCGAGTCTAGAATTGAACCAAGGACCCCAGCGCTGTGGGCCAGCAATGCTGATCACATTACCACAGTGCAACCCTCTTCTGGACATGTTACGCATGAATAAAAGTGATGTCTAGAGTATACAGCTAAAGCAGTGCTGAACTGGGTCAGGTTTTAGACATATACAGGACAGTGTCCACCGCCTAGCAGAGGAAAGCCTCCTGCTGGTAGATAATTTGTTTATCTTTCGTGGTATCAATTAAGGTTTATTTATCAATGCACGAACAGTACAGCATACAGTGGTGTTCTGGCAAAGAATTGCTTTAGTTGACAATGAAATGCTTTAAAAAATGCTTTAACTCGTGGTATGAGATAATGCTGTGCTCTGCTTTGCCCTGCAACAATGGAGATGTCATTTGTATTTCAACTCTGCTCTCCTCCCCACTGAGAGCTGGTGTGTGGTGAGCGTTCTGGCGCACTATGGCTGCCGTTGCATCATCCAGGTGGATGTTGCACATTGGTGGTGGTGGAGGGGAGTCCCCATTACCTGTAAAGGGCTTTGAGTGGAGTGTCCAGAAAAGCGCTATATAAGTGTAAGCAATTATAATTAATATTATTAAATGAGCCTTTTCCTTGTGTAAATCTGTGAACTGATCTGAAAGGGAGCTAGCTGGAAACCCAGGAAGAGGAGGCACTTCTTTACACAAAGGGCGGTGGGAGTGTGGAACGAGCAGTACTTGAGCTGTACAGAAAGTACTGTATAAGAATAAAATCACTTTTTGTACGTGAATAAGAACTGTAGAATAAAGACTGTATGTGTTTTCAGTTGTGGTGCACAGGTGTCTTCCACATTCTCCTGTGGTTTGTGCCAAACAAATTTTAACTCAAGCACAAGGCACCTCCAAGAAAATCCCCCAAAAGTACAGCAGTTCTCACAGACTCCCAGTGTTGCAAAATGGAAATGTGGTCTTTAGCATCCCAGAGGATTGGGTATCCATGTGGTCGGAATAGTGCGGTTGTAGGGAGGTCTTCTGCAACTTTCATCAGTCTGTTAACTAGTAATTATTTTTATACCTCAAGCACTGACGAGGCATGAACTCATCACTGACTGCCACAGCCACCCTGTGATACAATACTATAATACTTCGTCCTTAATGGCTCAACAAGACTGGTCTGCTTTTGCTTTACTGCAAGGTTGTGTGGTTTTGTCCATCCTGTCCCACTGAAGACCTTTCATAATCATATTCATTTACATGCTGATTGTCTGCACATGTTTTTCAGAGTGTATCTACTAAGATTCCCTCACACATGAAGAAGGCTCCACGGCCGAAACGTTGTGTTTACTTTCTTCTCTTTTCAGCAGGGAATAAACCTGTTACTTGTTCCTTTGCAGCCTACGCATGCTGATGCAGCTGCCCACCTGATCTACTAAGATTCAGTCAATTTTGTATTCATGCTATAAATATAACAGGGATTAAGAACAGGTCAAGGTTAATTCTACTCTGAAAGGAAAAGAAAAGATAACAACATTTTTCATCAAGTAACTTTAATCAGGTTATAAACCTGCACTGGTCTTAAATCTCATTTATTTTGCTTGATCCAAATCACCTCACATATCAGGCAATTATCATTTATGTGTAATTTATTGACAAAATCTACACTGTGTTCCAGATTTTTGGAAATGCACAGTGAAAGTGATTGTCCAGTTAGCGAACCTGACGCGTGCACTGAAATGAAAGGGAATGTGGCAAATCTTGTTTTGCTTTTGAAGCATTATTGTCAGGCTGCGTCTCCCTCAAACGAATGTGTCACTTTAAATCAGGCGCTGCAGGGCTGAACGTGAGCCTGGTCCCTGATCTGCGCTGGGGAGCCCCCTCTCGACTCCAGCCACTATCAGAGCGCAAACTGCAACCTGTCTAGTTCCAGGTAAAACAGCAAAAACACAAAACAAGGAAACATTAAGGGCATCAACACAAAAAGCAAATCTCTTTTGGCCTTGAACAGAGAGTCCTCAAGGAAATCGACAAGACGACGCAGAGGGTTTCTCCAGAATGAAGAGTGACACACGAACCGGAGCACACCGGAGGAAACTGAGAACGGGAGTCACGTCTTTACGCAAAGGCTTGTGGGAGTGTGGAACGAGCTGCCCAACCACGGTGTCGATGCTGATACCCTGGTTTCTGTCAAGAAACAACTGGATCAGTTTACTACAAACTGCTAAATGGCTGAGGTGTTCAGAGTGGCTTCCTCTTGTTAGCAAGAGCTCTTCTGTTGTCATGTGCAGACTCCTGTCTCAGGCTCTGTCTAAGCACTCCAAACACAGCAGTCTCAGCCTGTCTGAAGGGAGGAGATCTCTGCAGGCTCCTGATGAGGATTAATGCCTGCTGGGAGGTCAGGCTTGACGGAGGCCTAGCCTGAGTCAGACTAAAGCCCTTTTCCTCTTGCTCATTCCCTCCTCGGAGAGAGGCTCAGGAGCCCAGGGGTGTCTGACCAGTCCGGTGAGCCTTCGGAGCCCCTGAACCAGACTGGGTACGCTTGCTGATCAGGGACCAATGAAACAATGGTTTCAATGAAGGGAGATGATGTCTTTGAGAGCAGGAGGGTCTTTTGATTTTTGGGGCATGGGGTCTCTAAATGATTTGATTTGAAAAATCACCCATTCAGCCGATCACAAGTAGATTATGGACATCGCTGATTTCAAGTCAGTAGGATGGATCATTGAGCTCTGGAGACGCCTCTTGTAGCACATCTACCACCTCACTGTTGAAAGCATTTCCAAAAGATTTGCCATATATTTCTAATAAGATTGCAGACAACAATGCTTCTCCTGGGTGATTTCCCAGCTGAGGACGCTGTGAAGCCGTGTCTTCTGCTGCAGGGGCTGGTTTCAGCCTGGGCAGGATATCGAGCTATAAAAACTACAGGAACAAAGTCATGATGTTCTTCAGGGGTGCCATGGGACTGTACAAGCTCAAGGTCAGGACCTACAGCTCTGTAGTGCTCAGAAGAGGCTCTGTCGAGCACCAGCAGATCCATCTATCTGGAATCAGAAATAAAAAAGGCGCTGCTGTCTCGCTTGAGGTATTTGTACCAGCTGAAACCTGTCAGATCTGTTTAAATCCCCGTTTTCTGGCTGTGCTGTTTCTTCATGGGGGGCGGGGGACACCCGCGATTATTGATCTCACACAAGGAGGGAAGGAGCCGAGATCAAAACAGAGCGGATGACAAAGAGAAGGAGGGGAGCGCGGCGATTGGCCAGCGAGGAGCCAATCAGAAGCCAGCCGGGTTTACTAATACCTGCGGGCGCGTGACGCTCCTGACACACGGCCATTCGCAGGCGCGCGCTGGCCGGACCCCCGACCTCATCCTCATCCTCGATCTTCAGCAGGATCTCGGTCTTTATCTGTCTCCGTTTGAAAGTTTCCTTAATCCAGTCTTTTACATTTTGTTTTTTGCTCGCCGTTGTCGAGCTTGCGGCTGTGGTCTGGTCCGTGTTGCAAACTTTCCCCAGGAAGGATTTTATTAATTTAAGTTTTTGAAAATTTTTTTTTTGCTTTTTCTATATACGAGTTAAATAAAATCGGCGGGATGGCTGTAACCAATTTCCACTACATCACGCGCATGAACAGTGGATTCAAAGTTTACATCTTAGAAGGTAAGTCATCGGAAGCGCTACTATGCGTTTGAACTGGACTCAGCAGGGCAATGTCACGGTATCTGGTCAAGCGCGTCGGTGGAGACATTACTGTTCCTCTATATATATTGAAAGGAGCAGGTAAGGGGTTATTTCCTGCTGAAAGGAAAAGAAGATGCGCACCTGAAGCGCAGTCCTGGCGCCCGGAGGAGCCCTCCCCTCGCGCGACTGCACGGGGCTGTCGGTTGGGGCCAAACCCCTTTAACTTGACGTCTGTTCTAGTCGGTATTCCTGCTCTGCCGAGAGGACAGTGCGCTGCCCTGGTGCAGCACAGACCGGCCGTGACGCTCACCCGGGGCTCGGAGCGCAGGGCAGCAGCTCAGGACCTCGTTCGCACCCGAGCGTCTTCCAGCTTAAATGTGGTTTGGGAGAACTAAGTGCCTTCTTGATCGCGCGTTGTGGCGTTTTGGACTGGGAGGGGTGGTCCGGTCGGCTGCCCGCTAGTTCCCCGCAGCGCTGTAGAAAAGGACTTGGAGATCTTTGAGCCGGGAGTCTCTATCGTTACACCGGGAATATTTAAACGACAGGCGTGTGTGAATCTACGCCCGTGCGTACTGGATGGGTTAGGAGGGCGAGGGAGGTTTTGATGAGCAAGGCTCGGCCCGATGCCGCGGGCTGTTCGGACCAGGGCCTTTCGGAACCGGCGGGGTTCGGGACGGCAACAGCGCTGCTCGCCACACGCTGAACTGCAGGACCGCGCTTAGTCCGGAAAGTTCAGACTGGGCCAGTCGCCTGCACCCGTTTGCGAGGAGTTCCGTCCGGCCGAGCGCCCCGGAGTGCTGTCCGTGCAGCCCGAGCGTAAGGAGGTGACCCTGCGTGCTCTCTGGCCGGATTGACCCGCCCCCGGTCCTCAAACAAAGCCGTTGCGGGCGGGGCGAGTGTCTGTGCGCGAGGTGACCGGGTCCAGCCCGCTGCTCGCTCCTCTTTCAGCGCGCTGGAGCGAGACGCGAGACGCGAGACGCGGTGGCCTGACGTCTGCCGCTCTGCGACTTGGAGACAAGGGTTCTGGTCTGCTCTGGCGGAACCTGTGGGATGTTCTGTTGATATGAGATTGGTCTCGGTAATCCAGCAACTAGACGGGGGGAGGGGGGTTAATTAGTGAAGAGTGTCTGGTTTTATCCTGAGGGGTGGCGATTGATACTGGTGCAGTGAAGCCATTGTGGAGGTCGTGGCTCGGAGCTGACCGGTCTGCGAGTCACTCCGCTCTGCCGGGCCCAGCGCCGTCTCCCCAGGCTGGCCCGTCCGCGCTGACACCTGGTGTGCTGCAGGGCGCTGGTCTCAGACAGCGCCAGCTCCACGCCTCCTGTCGTCGCTGCTACTCGGGAGCAGCGTGCGTGTGTGCGTGCGTGCTGTGAGCTGACTGGCCTGTTTCTCGCTCCGCAGGGCAGCCCAGCCTGAGGACGGAGGACCGGTACCGACACCTGGCCCACAGGGCGGGCGTGCCGCCCGTCTATCCCATCAAGCGCAAGCACAGCCCCGAGCGCGGCCCGGCGGTGGAGGACCGAGCCGTGAAAGTGCGCCGCTCGTCCCTGGCCCTCATCTCGTGAGTGGAACCCGCCGCCGCCCGGCCCGATTCTGTAGAGCCCGGCCAGCCCGGCCCGCTGCTGTTGCGACGTGTTGTGACCCTGTGTTTGTGCCCCCCAGGAAGGAGCGGGCGCTGTTCGGCAGTGCCACCCGCAGCTTCCAGCGGCAGCCAAGCCTCAGCCCCGCCACGCCGCCGCAGACGCCCACGGTGACCACCACCACCAGGAGCCCCGCCCGCCGGCTGCCCAGCCCCCTGTACGCCGGGCCTCCCATGGACGAGCCGCTGGCGCTCATCAAGAAGCCCGGCTACTGCTCGCCCACGGAGGGCACGGTGCCCAGCATGGACGCCAAGCCCCACAGCCCCACCACCACCCGGGTACAGGTGAGTCCGAGCGGTTTCTCTGCGCTGGCACTGTGGTGGGCGCCGTCTCCGAGCTCGGGAGCCCAGGGCTGTAGAGAACACAGATGAGCAAGCAAATAGCAAAAGACACCACTGGTTTGCACACAGTCTAGGACCTGGTGCAGCAGGGGTGCCAGCTGATCATCATCGGACTGGTTCACAAAACGAACCATTAGTGGGCAGCCGTGTCCAGAGTTAAGAATCAACTACCGTGCCCTCAGGACAAATCATGGTGTTGAGCAGCAGTTCAGCATTGTGCATCGTCACAGCCTGCAATTCACCCTTTCAGTGGGTTTTCATGAGGACAGAGCCGAGACTGCTGACCGGAAAACAGGTGAAGGTCAGCTCTGTGCTGGAAATAGAAAAACAATTACTGCTGTTGAGTCTGAAGGTGTTGACAGCAGGAAGAGTTTTCTACTTCAGTGCAGAGCAAACCTTTATTTATTCCTTTACAGGCGATGCTGCTGACGCAGGTCCCTGCTCCGAGCTCTTCACACAGGGGAAAAATAGCTCTCAGACTAGGGACTGTGACTAGGGATTGTACATCTTCCACAAGAGACCCGCCCTTGGCATGGGTCACCAGCTGTGAGCGCTCAGTTACCGGGAATGTGAACAAACCGATTCCTGTCAGACGCAGGAAAGATTCCCGTAATGCTCCAGGAGTTGAGTGTGCAAAACATGAGATTGTTGCCTGTCAGGATTCGTCCTTGGAATGCCTTGGGGGGGAAATGAAATCGTTTCCTGCAGTGCAAGGCTGTGGCCCGATCCTCTCAAACAGCCTCACAGGAGCTCCGAGCCGTGTTTGAAGTGAAGCACGTAGAGATGTGCAGGGAAAGCTGCAGGTCTGTGCTTGTACCAAATATGCGAGCCGGCTGGATTTCTGGAGAAATGTGAGCAATGGGTCGAGGAATGCAGCCAACAAGCCCAAACAGACAGCGCTGTTGCATGTGACTCCAAGGAGATGGCGCTGTAAGCAGAGGTTCTCCTCCCGTCTGACCGGACTGCTCTGGCCCCTCAGCGCTGAGTGGCTCCGCTCTCGGAGGGCCAGGCGTCGCTGAGCGCGGCGGATTTCAGCACTGCCTGGCGTTTAAAGCCGACGTGTTTGCGTGAAGAGCCCTCTGCGCTCCGGTACTAACGGGCTCCCCTGCTCTGCCCTCAGATCCGGCCCTCGGTGATCACCTGCGTGTCCTCCAGCGCCCGGGCGGCCAGCTCGTCTCCCGAGGTCCGGTCAAGCCCCTGCTCTTCCGGTGAGTCCCCACGCCCGCGCCCTGGCACGGCCGCCGGCCCTGGCACTCGGGCCCGGTCCAGTCTAACTCCTCCTCCTCCTCCTCCCCTGCAGCCTCCTCGCCCCCGGCCTGCGACCCCGTGGTGGAGGAGCACTTCCGGCGCAGCCTGGGCCTCCACTACCGCGAGGCGGACTCCAGCGCCCTGCCGGTCAGCGTGTCCGTGGACGACCACTTCGCCAAGGCGCTGGGCGACAAGTGGCTGAAGCTCAGGGCCTCCTCGTCCCCCGGCAGCCCCAGCTACGGCTCCTCGCCCAGCCGGGGGTACAGCCCCCACAGCCCCCACAGCCCCGCCGGGACGTCCTCCCCGTAACCCGCCGCCCGCAGGAGGGGCCCCTGAGCCGGCGACGAGGACGCTGCTCGGACTGCATCGCGACGGGGAGGCGGGGGCTGCCTGGCACGCTGTACTGTTCTACCCCTCGCCTGAGCGCCCGGAGCGGGGGGCAGGGGGCGCCGCTGGACTGCCACTCAGCCTGCCCCCGCGCCACGGCCACTGCTGCCCGTGTGGAGAGCTGCAGGCGGGGGCTCTTTCACCCCCGGGAGAGGCCTGGTCTTGACCAGACGCAGCAGAGGGAGCTGTGTGGAGCTCGAACCCGCAGCAGTTTCGCAGTTGAGGAATTCGCTTGCGTAGACTAGTTTGCCCAGGATGCGCTGGTAGTGACGGGCAGAGGACTTTTCCGGTGTTCCGATGAACCACGCGGATGTGGGTTTGTGGAGAATGTGCTTCGGTAGCAGTGGTCATGTTTCAGTGAATTAAAAAAGCTGTTTTGATTTTTTTTCCCCGTGTGTAGCCAATCGGCTGTCTGTGTGTTTCTGAAGTGACAGTAGGTCCGCTGTCTCTGTGCTCAATGTGCCAGCAGCTCTGCTTCTCCTCAGGGCTTAGTGAGCCTTTTGATTTTGTCAGCTTATAATCGCAGATAAACGAGCAGATGTGTTGCCTGTCTGCTCAATTACAATCACCCCTTTCCTAGTACAGACAGGGAAATCCCTCCCTGAAATCAAAGATTTTAAAGATCTTTCGATGTAATTCAACCCCCTCCACACCCCCAGGGGCAGCTGCAGATTCACAAAGGAGGACGAGAAGCGAATTTAAAACTGCCTACATGTGGCATCTCCTTTAGACTCTGATGGGCTGTTACCCAGTTTAAGCAGTGCCTGGAACCCAGGCCTAATCACGTTTTGAGATGGCCTTCTTCGCCCAGTAAGAACGATCTCCACCATGGTCTGCCCAGCGGTTTTTAAGCGGCTTAAAATCAAACTGGTGTGAAAACAGACGGTAGCTGACAGGCTTGAGTCAGGAGCTGCTGTTGCAGGAATGCCACAGGAGACTGCCTCTCCCTTCCTGCTGGAGGGACTCAGCAGTACAGAAACATCTACTGTGTCGCAGGACAAAGCCCTCACTGTGTTATTAAAGCACGAAGGTCACCATATCCTAATAGGAAGAAAGTCTCAAGCCTCTGCAGCACTAGATCAATAGGAGTGATTGATGGGGACAGTTTGTAGAGCAAAGGAGCAGACCTTGACAGCGGCTCCTGAGCTGTTAGCCTATCCAAGAGGCATGACCTTTGAACTGGGGGGGGTTTAAAGTGGGGAGAGCAGCCTGCACAGAGGTTTGCACAGATTGATCTTGTGCCCTCACGCCTGAAGAACAGTGCCTGTCATGAAGAGGAAGGAGTAAGCAAACTGCTCACTCCCTGAACGGAAAGGCGCACAATGTCTTGCCGACCTGCTGCCCTGCGCTCCTCTCAGGGGACCAGTGTTCAGTGGGTACCAAGAACTGTGTGTGTGTATATAGGAGCAGGAGAAATTTAGTAGCAATTTACAATATTTACCTACTTTTACACTTATTAAATCTGAAACATCTCTTGTTTAAAATGGTATCTGCCAGAATTCGGTGTCAGTATGTTGGCTGGGAAGAAGCGTCGTTTGTGGCCCTGTACTTTAACTGAACAGAAAGCTACACGTTGTGGAATACGATCTCCTTTCTCTGCAGTTAAAGCCACCCTGAACTAAACCTTCGGGATGTTCTGTGGCTCACTTGATTGCCGGTGTTGAGCTGGGAGAGGGGCGTGGTGCTCCGGGCAGGTCTGGCAGGCCCTGGTGCCAGCTCGGTCCGCGGTTCCTCTTGCCTGGGGCATCGGGACCTGTGGCCCCTGTCGCGAAGATTTCAGAGAGCTTTCCCGAGCCACGGACTTGACTTGGTGTTTCACTTGGGTTCCTTTGGGGAAGTCTGAGGGATGTACTGGAGTTGTATGTTCCTCCTGTTTCCCGATTTTCTCTGACCTTGCTCCTTTTCTGTGTGTGATATTTATTACAAGCCTGTCTGTGTTGGTAAACAAAGTGGAAATGAGTACTTTTTTAATAAAATAAACATGAATGTTTGTATAAGCTCTCTTGTCTTCAAATGTGCGCTCGTACTGTGCCGACACTGTGCAGGGCACACGCCTTGTGCTCTCCACTGCATTCTGTGGCCTGTGCTGTCTCAGGCTCCTCAAGCTTGTGCTTGTCAGCACTTTTCACTCCAGTTTGTAGGCTACTGGCTAAATCAAACACTGCTGCCTTTCCTGACCCTTTTACCAGTCTAGAAATATTTGCCTCCCTGAGAAGTAAAATAAGCACACATTAACAGTATAAGAAGAGGCAGGTATTTGGGACATTTGTGTCCTTGTCAGTGATGCAGGACCTATCAGGACTTCTGCCATATCCCCGCAGTGATGACTAGGCTGTCGGTTCCCCACGGCCACAGCCCCTCTGGAAACCTCCTCCTGCCCTGAAGTGAAACGGCTTTCACACGTTCCCCACCTGGTCTGGGGCTGGACCGAGGCCTGGTCCGCGCGGGGAGCAGCTGGCAGGGGCAGACTGGACGGCTGTGGATCCTGTCCTGGCCTGGGGAGCCCGCTGGAGACGTGCAGCCCGGGCTCCTTGAACACATGGTCACACCGGCCCAGCAAGCAGGAGACACTCGGGCAGGGAGGCGACTTGAGAAACGGAGGGACACGGGTACGCCACCGGCGTGCGAGAAGCAGACTAGCGCAGGATCAATGCACACAGAGAGTGTGTGTCTCTGAGCGAAGCCAGGTTTCCTGACACGGGAGAAGAGATGTCCTAGTTCACCTGACGGAGACATTTCTGAATTTCTCAACATCTCTTCTCTTGGCCAGAATCAGTGAGCTAGAGATCGACAGACCCCAATCTAAAACTGCCAGTAATACAGTTGGACCCAAAGATGTGGCTTTTGCAGTACTGTATACCTACAAGACTGATCACCCTCTGGAGTTAACTAAACTAATAAAATTGCAAAAAACGCAGTGATTTCATTGCAGCGGTGTGGACTGAGTCACCCTGGGTGCCCAGGACCAGCACTGCTGACGTCTCTGGGAGCTCAGCTCCGGGGTCCCTGAGGGCTCATTTCCAGACAGCATCACAACAACAGGGGGAGTGACGCAGCCCTGAGGAGGCTGGGAGCAGCAGGCAGGGCCGGCTGATGCCGCTGTTAGTCACAGGCGGAGCAGCTGGGCGAACACCCTGCTGCTGAGTGTTTTCAGCGTGCAGGTCAGCGCAGGGAGTGCCGGCTGGTGTTGTGCAGACAGTGGTGTGGAAATCAAAGTGTCGGGCTCAAGTATGCAGAGAACATGCCCCAGCAGGCCGGGATCTGAAGGCCACCTCATTCCCACCTCCCGAGCAGAGCTTTCCCAGGCTGCAGGCAGGGGTGAAGGAAGGCAATAGGTGAAAACATCTACATCTACCTTTACAGTTCCTGATTTACATACTGCAGCACAGGAAAGAAAACAGATTGAATGTCTGATAACCTGCTGCTGAGAGCTGACAAGTGCTTCACACGTCTGCTGGATTTTGGTTCTTATCACTGAAAACACTAGCTGTGGAAAACACTAGCTGGGCGCCAGGCTTTGTCTACAATGGCTCCTACAACAACAGTTGTCCATCAGTTCCTACGCAATATTGTGAAACAATACATTACGCAAATCTTAAAATAAAATGATATTTTAAAAACCTGAATTTTGAATTCAACTATTCTCATTTCCTGTCCGATAAAGGCTTTGCATTCTGCCAGGAGTGCTAGTTTTCCCTTGAGGGAGCTCAGAGGGGGTTGATGTTTCTCAGGTTCAGACACAGTCAATAACCAGGCTGAGAAGGTGATACTTGTACAGAGACAACCTTCCTCAGACAGTTTGGGATTCCCTGTACTGTTCTGCACCCTTTGATATAATGCCAGCATTCTGCATGAGCATCTGCATCAGGCCCTGCTGGGAGCACACTGCCCGCCACACAGATGCTGTGGTGTTGATGTCTGCTCTGGGTTATGCCAAAGCTGCTCATTGTATTCTGTCAGTCTGTGTGCACACCTGTGGTGGAGGAGCGGCCTGTTGAAACTCTCCCTTCTGAAAAGCCCAGTGCTGGGGCCTGCAGGCCCAGATTCAAGCCTGTTTGGCTGCTGCGGTTCCCTGGCAGGTCCGAACGAGGACAGAGTCAGGCCCCGCCCAGAGGCCCGGCCTGGCCGGTTCGGAGGGGGAGAGCGGGACGGTGTCCGGGCTTGCAGGGCGCATTCCTGTCCCCATCGCTCACATTGCTGCGCGGAGCTGTCGGGGCGGAAGAGCCGGGTCCTGCACAGGCCTGCCCCAGCCTCCCAGCAGCCTACCGCCTCGGGCAGAGCCACAGCCTGTGAGAACCTTCTCCAGCCCCAGCAGCCCCAGCAGCGACAGCAGCGACAGGGAGTTCTGGTTTGGGAAGAAATGATTAAACAGCAAAACAACGAACAATTAAAAGATGAGCCAACCAAACCTGCAGGTTTTTTTCATTTTGCAGGAATTACGTCAACCTGCACTCACAGATGCCCTTTAAAAGTGGCAAGCCAGGAAAATTTCCCAGGAGCCGGTTGTTATTGCGGATTTCCCCGCAGGCATTGTGTGTTTTTTCACGTACTCCCACACTAGCCCTGCGACGATACTAGATTTAAAGAAACGAAATAAAAACTCTGAGAGTGTCTTGATGGAGTTCAAGATCATGATGCTTCGATGAGGGCAGTGCTGATCACCAGCAGGCTCCACGGCACAAGCGCTGCTGCGATACTGTCGGTCATCTGTCCTGCGGATTCACATTTGAAGGGACCCTGTTCTGTTTTCCTGCTTTCTTATTCCCTGATCCATAATCCTCCTCCCGTGCAGGAGCATGGCCAGTCAGCGCCGATGGGGGGGTTACAGGGCGCAAGGCGGGACTCACATATTTAGATCATAAGCACATAAGCAAGGAGGCCCTTTGACCCAACTAGTTTGTCTGGTTTTTAGTTTGCCCATCTGTAAGTGAGAAAACAAAAACGGATCAAACAAGATCTGTGTTAGATGTTGCCTTGTCAAACAACGTGACACTGACTTGACAGAAACTAAAA